GAATATGTTGCAACATGATTTTTCCTATATATATATATATATATATATATATATATATGAAAAAGAGATAAAATTATTTTAGTATCTTATATTATCACAAAACATTAAGTTAATACTTTGTATTTTTTATAATATTAAAATGACATATCTACTTTTTAAAGGAAAAATTTGTTTAATACTTTTAAGTCATTTTTTGAGATATAAATTTAAGAATTTACCCTTAATACTATTCTCTTATTTTTCTGACCCAAAATTCAATTTCAATAAACGAATATAATAATATAAAAAAAAAAAATTCAATGGCTGAACCGAAATTTTTAATTTCAATCTTGCCGCCTTCACTTATGAACCCAAACCTGTCACAAGATTCTTTTGAACTGGGTCCTTTCACCTTGAACTAGTCTAAGAAAACTAGAGTTTTCACCGATTTTAACTGACCCAATTCGCTTCTTGATGTTCTGAAGCAAGAGGTTTAGTTATTAAGAATTGGGTAATGCTTTCGGAAGTTGGGATGAAAACAGAGTTTGCTAGGGCTGCCATGAAAGAAGACAGATCTGGTTTTTTTTGTTTGTGGAATATCAGATTTGGATTATTTGCTCTTGGTCAGTGGGTTGAATTTCTGAGAAGATGGATATATATATATATATATATATATATATATATTGCTGGAAAAGAAACCATCATGAAGAATTTGTTGTTTGGTTGGGTTGAAGTTTTGAGAAAGATGAAGGATAAATTTTGTTTTTCTTTCTTTTTTGGCGGAAAAGAAACAGATGAAGGATTTTCTTTTATTGTAATCAACTGTTGAAATTGAATTTCGGGTCTAGAAAATGAGAAGAAAGAAATAAGAGCGAATTCATCATTTTACTTTCTAAAAAATGATTTAAAAATATTAAAAAAATATTTTCTAAAATGTGAAGATACTATTTTAATATTATAAAAAACACAAAAAATTAACTCAATATTTTATTATTATACAAAATATCAAAATAATTTTATCCATAAAAAAACATCGTTTTTCTAGCAATCTTTGAAAGGTCGTAGCAGCAAGGTTGGGTTAAACTATTCAAGCATGTTAAGCATAAATAAGGTAAGGTACAAATGCGGTAATGTGATTGTGTACGGATGGCCAAAACTAATCATAATAGAGGGGAGACATTTCCTTGAATACAACGAGACACAAGTTCAAGGTAATCTTCTATTTGTAGAAGGCAACTTTTAATTTGTTGATTTAATCAGATTAAGGAGGGAATGATGTTCTTACAAGGGCAATAAATTAGAATTAGGTGTGTGTTTATTAAGACCTCATTCCGTTCGCGAATTTAAATTTTTAATTTGAGTTAAAATGTGATTTTATGTGAGAGTTTTTCACTGTAACAAAAAAGTTAGATGTAACTTTTTGTGAGAGCTTTTACCTGTAGTAAAATTAGAATTAAAAACTCAAATTAGTGAAATGAATGAGGCCTAAGTGAACTTACAATGCCTATTATCAAAGGTTCAAAGGTGAAAAAGTATTAAATGGATTTGAATTAGCGTAACATATACGTTTTAGAGTTCGGAAAACATGTTGATACAAATAACATAGTTTAAGGAGGATTTATGAAATTTATTCCAAAAAAAATTAGTAGTAAAGAGCGTCACATAAACGATTTGGTCAAAATAATAAATAAATTTAAACAAAAAAAAGTGAAGTTAGATACATTTTATAAATAAAAGGAAACAATATTTACGTTTTAAAATTTAGAAAACATGATAATACGAGTAACACAAATGAAAGGGAATTTATGATATTTATGTTGAATCCAAAACCTTGAACTTGTGATCCGATCATCTCACATTTTTGAGGATTCGGAGGGGGGGAAACTACTATAATGTTTCTGCCAATATATTCAAGATTGGCTGCGGACACTTTTGAGCCAAATGCAACATAAACCACAAACGAGTGTGTTTCTCTCTCCTCAATCTCCATAGCATTTTCCCAACATATAAAACTGTATTAAGGAAGGCTAAGTGGGGATTTTTGGTCCACTTCTGCCGTACAAATAATGACTTACTTTTGACTTAGTTTTACACTTTCTTAAGCCGTTACATCCACTTCTTAAGCTTAAGAATCTTTGAGATCCACTCGATCTCCAATGTTTGGTCTCTGCCTTTTCTCCAATGTTTCTCCTTCTTTTCCACTTTTCTATTCTCTTTTTTTAGCAAGAAGGCCCAATTTTATGTTTGCTTTTTTCACAGGTATGAGTGAGAGAGAGAGAGAGAGAGAGAGAGAGAGTTAAGACCCAAATACCCAAGTTGCCCATTGCAAATATCTACAAGAAAGGTTAATCTTGTAGTTACATTCCTACTAATTTGTGCATACCAAAATGTTTATATATAGAAACAAAGTGGTTCCGTTTTAAGGCCATTATTATTCTCTCTCCTCCTTTTGCATATAAAAACTTGGGAACATTGTTTAAGGAACAAGTTTGATGGCTACCATTTCTATCCCCAAAATAAAAGTTTGGTACCTACCATGCATATATAACATCCTAGTTTACTCAATGCAAAGCAAAGTAAGACATGCGGATATGGGGGATTGATCAAATTAGGTAAAAGAATTTTGAACATAACATGTTATTTTCTGGTTGGTCATTGAAGAGCCTTTGGAATAAGAATTTAGCACCGGGAGTAGGTTATCATAAGAGACTTAGGGGACCTTAAGACCATGCCTAAACTATACATATTACATAATTAGCAATATATATATATTTATATATTCATACTACATGGTGGGGTCCTAAGGGACAAAAGAAGCATGAGTATTATTATAGTAGCAATGCTTTGGAATTTGGATTGGAGAAGGCTTGTTGGTATGGGAACATCGTACATTTAAGAAACATGCACTAATTATTAACAGAATTCATTAATCACCCAACTAACTTTAAACAATAATATTTCAGTGGAAGTCAGTTAAGCAGTGGAGTAGAATTTTACCCCTTCATTAAAACAAAACTGCTGAGTTCTTGGAATCCATATAAAAAAAAATGAGTAATGGGATAGTAAGTGCATATGTATCAATCTTATTTGATGATCTATGACTAGTGTATGCAAATTTTTTATTTTTTTTATTTTTTAATTACATAAGCATATCAATAAATGGGGGAAATGGAATGATAAGTGAACTGAGCGTTCAATGTTTTTTGTTCTTTCATCTTTGTCCAATGAGTTTATGGTTGATTTGTATAACACCCCATCATTCCATATGCTATGTAATGGAAATGTGGGGTATTTTCTCCTTTAGTTTCTATTTTTTAAGGGAATTTTTGTGATTTGTGATTGATTAATTGGTTTGGTCCTGTTTTTGGATTCATAGATAAAGATAATATACATGATGAAGTGCCTATTGATTTTAATACATAATAACTAATTTTAATACATAAAGTTATTATGGATGGTGAGCAATTAGTTTAGTATTAAACATTTGAACCTTACGCAGGCATGTCATCTGCATGATGTTTTAGTAAGGGAATTTATTTTAGTCCTAGTCTGAAACTTTATTGCCTTTTGGAACAACAATTAGCTTTTGTTACTTGAGAAATATTTGTTATTATGAATTTTGACTTTAGTTTATGTAATTCTCTTAGTAGCCAGTTTCTTAAAAATAAATAAATAAATAAATAAAACCCTATTTGAACCATTTTTTCTCGCTTAAAAATTGTCATTTGTCAGTCTGGATTTAATAACATCATTATCATTTTTGTCTTGTACTGGAATTATTTCCTAATACCATAAATATTTCCTAATAAAATAGAGATCGAGTTAAAAGGCTTAGAGTCCAATACCAGCCGCCATGAGCACATTTAATTGGACTGGGCCATGGCCGATTTGCATTTTTTTTTGTCTGCATTCTAAACTTTGGAGATCTTTTCAGTTTTCTTGCAGAAATATTCAATGAATCAAATATCACCTGATTAGTTTCTCAATCAGTTAAAAATTATCACAAACAAGTCAAAGCAAATTGCTCACCATACACAATATCACCTCACTACTTTCATCATCTCATATTTACAACTTACAACTCCCAGTATTAACACAAGAAAATCAATAGTAATAATAGAACAACGGATGAAGTTGCTCCTCTTCTTTTCAAGGCAAGTTTTCCCATACTGCGCCGTTGAGAGAGGGATTAAAATGGGCTTTATTTCCAACATGTTGTTCAGCCATTAGCCAACTCGAAATTTAAAAACCTAATATCTAAAATATTTTCACTACCACGTTCTACGTAATCCCTAATAGCTGACAAACAATACAGGCATCGTCTTAAATCCGACACTCAGACTGAAACAATGACTATTTGGTAGGCCTTGGAAAATGAAAAGGGTGCTGAGCAAGCAATTTGTTGAAGAGGCAAGATATCTGCAACGGGCGGTAGTGATTGCGGTAACAAGTATAGAGTGTTCAGGGAAGTTATTTAAAAGTACAGAAGGGTGGAGTTGTTATTTTGTGTGAATATAAAAACAACTGTTTAATTCGTTAATTCGAATTGATATGTGACTTTATGTGAGCTTTTTATTATAACAAAAAAGTTAAATATGACTATTCCCTTCTATTTTCGTTTCAAAGTTTTTTTTTCTCTCATTAACCCTTTTATTTTAAGCCTGTTCATTTCGCCGATTCGAGTTTAAAATTCGAGTTTTGCTACAGTAAAAAACTCTCAGAAACAATCAAATCTAACTTTTTTACTACAGTAAAAAACTCTCACATAACGTCACATCTCAACTCGAATTAAAAACTCAAATCAACGAACTAAACAGGCACAAAATATATTCAAATTTAAATTATTAATTTTATTAATATTTTTTTATCATAAAAAATTTAAAATACGTCAGAATGAAAAATTAAAGTTTTAAATATTTAACACGCATTCCTTCCAAATAAGGCAGTTGATTCTATTTCAGGGGAAATAAAAGATATTTTAAGGTGTCACATACTCTTCCATCGTTTTCACTTCATGTCAGAAGATAAAAACAAAATCACATTCTATTCATTGACCAATGATGTGTTTGAACAAGATGGATCAATTTTTTTTTTTCCCACCTCGAAAGAGAAGACTTTTGTCAACAAAGATGCTATACCGATTGACTTAAATTCAGCTCCAACCTAGCAATATGGTAAAATTTCACCCCTTAAGTTTAATATCGACACAACAAACATGATTATGAATGAGCAGTCTAAGACAACCAAAAGACTGCAATATGGATCTATAATTCTAAACCGATGCATGCCCAGAAAGGAAAGAAATGGTGACAAAAATGACCCCGCCCAAAACCACATTGTCAAACCACCAGCCACTAAGCAGATTAAATTAACTCGGAGAAACCGTGACCAAAAATCTCACTTCAACACAGAATGAGAGACCTTGGAAGTAGCAAAATGGATGATTTGATGACCCCCTTAACTCAGTTGAGTTGACGGCCATGCAAAAAGACTGCTGGCTCATAATCAAGGTTTCTGATCAGAGACTTGTTCAAGACTTCGAAAACAAACGGAGCCATGTCTTCAGTTACGACATTGGATTCTGAAAAGAAAGCACAAAATGATGATTATTTTAATCACGTAATAAAGTGAATGAAATGTAGAAATTCAGTAGTTTGGATTTAACTTGAAATGAAATATAACAAGTTAACAACAAAGTACAGTTATTCTTTCTTTCTTTCCTTTTTTTGTTTTTTTTGTTTTTTCCCCTTTTTGGTTGCTCATGAAGAAACTTAAAAAAAGCAGCAGTTAGACTATGGTGTAACAAATCTAAGTCTCTAAGAGACGACATTCAAAGATAAAATTTCAATCGCTGGCGAGTAAAACTCCCGCCCAGTTCCGCAACTTATGTTACAATGTCTCTGGAAAAAAATAAATTTTAAACGGATTCACATATGAATATAAATAGTAGATAGCTTTTCATATAGTGCAATTGTGTGACGCTCAAATCAATCAATAAATAAATAAGGAAAAAGAAAATGTTTAGTGCTCAAAACGTACTACTAAATACCAAGGAAATCCTATAACTGAGGCCACAAACAAGCATAAAAAATTCTAAGTGTACATTGATCAGAACTATAATATGCGATGGCAATTTATCGAGAGATCAAGATTCTGTAGTAGTTTCATTTTTGGCTCTCTTTTCTGAGAGGGAGATACTCAAACAAAACTCCACTCAACAAGAGAGATAAAATAAACAGAGAACTCTTAAACTAAATGCAATATGTACAATATGATAGTTGGGACGTACGAACCATAGTAATATGATTGTTGCTTATGATATCCAGTGTACACAATGCAAAACAAGAAATCAGTATTGTGTATGATTTACCACATATTAGTCTGAATACTACATTTGACAACTCAACACCGAAGAATAAATCCTTTATGTTAAAGGTGTGTACTTATATTTAAGACAGAAACTATACGATTCATGATGAAATAATTCCAGAGTACCAATAAGACACCCCACTTTATATGTAAACAATACAAAAAAGAATAGCAACGAAATAATACCGTAGCCAAAGTGTTTAAAGGTAACATACTCGTTCAAACAATTGGGCAGTTATAAGTACTGCAAAGCTGAAGCAATGATGCCTGATTGGCTGGTTCAAGATAATGGCTGATGACTTGTGGAAATCTCCCAGGATAAAGAGTAGAAAGCTTTGCAAGTGAAGCTACTAAGAATTCCTTTGGATCCTTTATGTCTTTCAGAGGGTCCTCCTCTTTCTTCCCTGCATTGAAAAGACGAACGAAAGTGGCAGTATAACCAACATTCTCTGATATATCAGGCATTTCCGGTTCATCCTCAACCCTATCCTGCTCAGGCCGTGAGAGAAGGGTAACAATGCTATCCAGCATCTTTCCCCAGTGTTCAGCAGCCGCAGCATCAAAAAGGCTAGAAGATTCACATATAAGTCGGGTTGATGCGACTGCAGCCAACTTGGTCTCGATAACTCCTGTGATATGCTTAAGATTAGGTATCCAAAACTGAACCAAGATGCCTTGAAATATGTTGGGCTGGACAGCATTCATCGTATCTACAAGGTGTGCTGAACCATGCTTGACCAGAAAGAGTGACATAAATATCAACAAAGACTTGATAAGCCTCACAGGTCTCCTTCTCTGGAGCTCAGTGAAAAGGGCAGTCCAAATGTGAGGAATGTAGGGTGCAATGACACCATATTCAAGATTCTCAATGACAGTATTCAGCACATAGAAACCTTGCTCATATGAGTTTGGTAGAGACAAAAGCTTATTGAATATTCCAAGAACCTGGCTTAATCTCCCTTCACCATTGAGCTTATGAGGTGTCTTCTGAAGGAAAGCCTGAAGCAGACGCACAAGTGCAGGGACATTGGACGTTCTCCTCCATGACTCAGGTGACAAAAGAATCTCAAAAATTCCCATGTAGCTTTCGGGAATTTCTGGCCTATCCAACTCCACAAGCTGAGCCAGTAGCTGAAATGCATAAGGAAAGAATTCACTCACATCATTGGCTAATATAAACTGGATGCTGGGAAAAAGTTTCGCTTCAAAAGCTGGTATGAGAGAAGCGTCCTTCTCGCAGCCTCGCTTGACAAGAATAGCCACGGACTCAAATAGATAGTGGTTGAAAATCGGATTTCTTGGGTTTTTGCAAATCTCATTAAGTATGGATGTCAATCCATCTATGCTAGGTATGGCTATGCCACCAGTTATATTGGCAACACCAAGAACCCGCATTATACATTTCATTATGTATTGATTTTCTTCAGATTCTGGAAACTTCAACGCATTAAAGAGGTTAGTCATCAGATCTAGTAAAATTGGTGTAATATCAGCCGAACTGTATCTTGCTTGTCCACCATCTTCCTTGACCAGAAGAAGTTTTTCAATGCAACTTGCAGCATAAGAGTGGACCACATTTGACTCAGCACCAAGGAAACGAACCAAATGTGGAAAGAATTGAAGTGCAATTTGTTTTGGTATTTGATTCCGGAACATTGTGAAAAACTTGAGTGCCCCAGCCTTAAGCATTGGAAACTCATTCACATTCACATCCTGCAACTCTGGAACAATAACATTTATGAAGAAGCTCTGGACATCAACAAAATCAGTCTGGACAGAAGTACCTCCAGCTTTCTTAGTTGCAAGGGAGACAACCAAGTAAATGGCACAATCCTTATCCTTCCAGTTCACAGTGCGGTTGGCTGCAAATGAGCTTAGCAAATTCTGTATCTGTACAGAAACCAACTGTGTAACCTGTTGCTTATAATTGGTTGCGATCCCCTTAAGGAGCTCACATGCAATCCGCCTCCTCGTGTCGAGATCACTGCCTTCCATATCCCTCCTAATAAATTCAACATAGTTCATCTCAAACAGTTCCTCATCCTCATCCCTCAACCTCACATTTGGGATCACAATGCCCTGACACACCTGTGGTATCACGCCCTCCCGTTCAAACAAAGCGTGATGAACACTCGTGCTAACCGTAGTCAGAAACTTAATCGCCGTGACAGCAAGCTGATCACGATGAGACGCTTGAGACACATTTGTCAGCAAGGTCCACACCGCGAGCGCAAACCCATCCAAGTAACCTTTAAATTCCTCCTCATTTTTCTCCATGTAGAGATTGATATTCTCACAAACCGCAGCCCGGAGCTCATCCACAAGAGCAAGTCCACTGGCATCACTATTCTCAAGAGCCGGATAACTAGTAGTTAAATACTTCTTAAACTCAAGCATCCACTCCTTCATATGATCCTCAAAAAACTCAGGCAATTCCTGAAAGTTCAACGAATAAAAAGTCCTACAACACAGCCTCTGCGACTCAAACAGCGGGCGCAGCGTGGCGCTCGGCGCACCGCCGGCATTGGCATTGTCGATCAGGACGGCGGTTTTAAGGAAAATCTCCAAAAGAGGAGCCGCGAAAATGTCCAAACAGTATTTCAAATCGAGAAAGAGTTCAGGGCTCTTATACTGATACCGAAATTTCTTAAAGATAGAATTAGCGGTACCTAGAATACCGTTGATGGAGGCGTAATCGGAGGACTGCGCCGCGTTGCGGAGGCTGGCGACGAGGTCGGGGAGCAAGGCGGGCCAGGATTTGGGGAAATCGTGCTTGCCGATGACGGCGAGGGCTTCGCTGAGCTGGCTCTGGATTTTGGGGGAGGAGGAAAGCATGAGAGGGACGATTTTGGCTCTGATCAGCTCCTTCTCGGCGTCGGGAATCGGGGACAGGGGAGCAACGATGGAGGACTCGTCGGGGGAGGCGGAGGGAGCCCACCGGACCTTAAGGTGGTTCTTGAAGTTGACGGCGGCGGCTATGCGGATCTGCTCGTCGACGGCGGGCTGGGAGACGAGGCTGAGGACGGCGCGGCCGTACTCGGGGCGGTCGGAGGCGTCGAGGAGGGAGGCCTCGGCCTTGCGGCGGGGCTCGGGGGCGGGGGAGAGGGTGTGGAGGAAGCACTGGGAGAGGAAATGGAGGGTTTCTGGGTCGCAATCCATGGATGCCCTAGAGGTGTTTGATGAAATTACTGTGAAGAAGAGAGAAGGGGGCGATCGAGGAGTGGAGAAATGTCGATTAGGGCAAAATTTTGAGATTTTTGAAGTGGAGAAAGAGAGGGAGAGAGAGAGAGAAGTGGGGGAATTTTTGGAGGGTTTTTGAAGGAAGGGGGAACCGACCAAGCAAGGGGGGTTTTTTTTTTTTCGCTAATCAACCAAACAAGGGTTATTAAAGCTGGAAAAAGTTATATGTGGGGACACGTGGCTTTGAGTGATTGGATCATTCTAGAGTGATTTTCACCGATTTTATATATTTTTTTCCTTTCAGGAAATAAATAATTTCTTCTTATTCTCAACCGGAGATGTCAAAACGGCCGAAATTTCTTCTTATTCTCAACCGGAGATGACAAAACGGCGGGACTTGATATGCCAGTACGAGCACGACAAGTTAAAATTTAGGAAAAAAAATAAATATTCTTTAAAATACATGAGTATTCTGTATTTTGACTATTCACACTTGATTAATATTTTTTTTATCAAGTAACTACAGGGTTGTTTTTTTTATAAAACTAAAAAAAAATTTGAATTCGAGTTATAATTTTATTTAAGTTCATATTTTTTTTTATAAAATTTGAGTTTGAACTCAAGTTTGGGGCTAAACTCGAGTTCCAGATTCTCTTTCAACTTGAGTTTTAGTTTCTCCTTCAACTCGATTTTAAAAACTCGAACTCAAGTTAATAAATAATATTTTTTCTATTATTAAAAATATCATAACTTTTTCATTTTCATTCTGATTGAGATGATTTTTTTCTATGTATTCACAATGAAAAGATGAATCAAACCCCACCTATATACCATATTAAAATTTTTCATCACCATTGAGTTTTTATTAAAATACTATCTAAATACAAATTTAAGTTTTGACCTACCCAAACATAAACTCAAGTAGATTCTCAATTCAAATTATAACTCAAATGTACACATCCAAACACAAACTCAAGTTACAACTTCAACTCAAGTTATAACTCAAACTCAACTCAAGATCATCATTCAAGTCACCCTAACTCAAAAATGCAAAAGAACAACCTCTATCTATAATATTCTTTATTTTACAATTCAAGTCACAACTCAAGTTTTATTACTACAGTGTTTTCTCTCATAAAAATTCAAATTATACTTTTTTTGCTATATTATTTTTCTCTCACACACATAATTCAAGTTTTGACTTGAGTTGTGAAATGAACACACCATGTATTAGTTAAAAGAGTATTAATCAAGAGTGAGGGGTAAAAATTTTGATTCATACATTCTAAGAGTACATCAATTTTATTTAAAAAGTGAGCACAACACAACTATTTAACAGACCTACCCTATCTCGTTTATTAAATGGGTCGGGCTTGACACAAGTTTTGGACGAAACATGTTAAGGGCATGACACGTTTTGGGCTCATCACGAGCACGGGCACAAGCACGTTAAAAGTAAAATAAGGGCTTAATTAGTGAATATGAAGTATGACCTAATTTTTTTTATGGGAGAAAAGGAAGTACGCTAAAATATAAAAGGAATTAAAATTAATAGGCTAAATTTTTAAAAAATGCAAGTAAGTTGTACTCGGAGATGAAATTAGAATAACCTCTGAGGGTGATGCCGACGAATAGCTCTACCGGGAGATAAAATTAGAATCGCCTCCACCGGCGCCAATTGTTCACTCAACAAATCGCCTCCTTAGACAGTTATCGCAATGAAGATTGCCTCCATTGATTGTTGGGAATGGTGTCCTAGAAGCATAAGATGTAATATGACATTTATTATTTATTTAATAAAAGAGTTTATTCATCATTTTATGTGTATATATTTGTGAATATTTTATGAATATCAATGAAAATTCTGTGATTATTTATGTAACCTTGAACATTATATATAAGTGTTATATACGAGAAGATAATGTTTAAGGATAATAATAAAAAAGCAATGTTCATAATGAATTTAATTAAAGTTCAGAATCTTTAATTAAAACATTATTAATACATGTCATTCCCATTTAGAATGGAACGGTGTTATCCGCGCTGTTAATATGGTGAGATATTGAATGAGTGTATTTCGAATAATGAGATTATGTGGAACAAGGACACATACACAATATGAATTTCTAATAATTTCTGTTAAGTATAGAAATTATAATTGAGTCTACCGATGGTCATATATAGAATGATCTTAATCCTGAGTTCTTAACATACTCCTATTTATGGATTTGTGTCTTTTGATTTACTCGGTACGGATTCTGAGATCCTGAATTCTATTCTTTGTATTTTGGTGTCATGATGAAGTAGGTAGCCGGGAATGTTATTATACGAGATGGAATCCATTCCTTCTTGAGAAAGAAGTAGATAAATAATTCTCTTGAGGGTTGATTCAGTACTTGGACTAGTAGGAGCTCCGATTCATGAATGTGTTTTATGAATCGCTGTCCATTAGAGAATCAATGGTACTCAAGGATAAAGATATAATTAGAGA